GTGCCATAAAATGATTAAGAACAAGATCAAGACGCGAAAATCGGCCAGACTCCTCTATAGCACAAAAGAGAGCTCTGAGAAGGGATTCAGGAGTGGGAGGGAGGAGGGGCTGGGGCAGAATTCATAGGCTGAGTTGCGGGCAGACAGGTACTAACGTGGGTAAAGGGGGAGGTAATATATAGTAAGATGGAGTTAGCAAGCAACATAGGATGGAGGCAAGCACACACTGGGAGGTTTCCAAGTTAAAGGCAACGGAGGCAAAGGAAGGGCAGCAGGACGCCCAGAGAAGACAAGGGGCAGCAATGGTAGGTGGAGGGCCCTGCTGTGCAGGGTAGGGAAAATGTGTGTCTGTTTTTTAATGTACAGTCTGCTCTTGACCGAATGAAAAGTGAAAGGTTGTTTTTAAAAAGACACATGCCTGTCTCCTGCTCTCTACACAGGAAAGCCGCCCTAGGAGCCACCTTCTTTATTCCTTTCACTCCCGCCACCTGCTTAACAAAATACAGTGCAGGCACGTAACTAGATGCTGAGCACGATTCCTCAGGAGCAGGAGTGATTCTGACTCTAAAATCGAAGCACAACAGCTGTATGTTGAACTGCTTACATTTATCTTAAAATCAACTTACATGCGAACATATTTTTAAAGTAGGATCGTTTTTATTGATCTACTCCCAAGATCGCGAGCTGTCTCTTTGTTCTTTTAAACCTCTCCAGGTAGAATTTCGCCTACAACCTCCACCATTACAACAGTGATTGGCCTCCTGGTTATCAGTGTCTCCCCAACCACCCAGGACAATCCTTGTCTGAAGGGACTTTGAAAAGTTCCTGGGAAAATCAAATGAAAAGATAATAGAATTTTTCCATGAACTTTCTGAATCCCCCTCCTAGCTTCCCCCAACAAAAAGGGATACACACCACAAAGAGAACCCTAGAGAGAAAATCTGAAGAGTTCTGAATCACAGAAAACAACAGACCAGCAGAGCTCTCCGCGCAAAGCCTTCGACGTCCTCCCTTAACTTACCGTTACAGTAGGGGTTGGATGAACTGAAGTTCATCGGAAATTCATGCGATACCTATCGAAAACAAAACAAGGACTGATGAAGCGGGCTTTGCTTCCCCAGGAGGCAATGCTTTCAAATGGGATTTTCCCTTACCTGCCACTGAGGAGGCACCTGCGCGCCAAAACCAAACGCGGGAAACATCTTATCACTAAACAGAAATTGAAAATAAAGTGACATGTCATTTTCTCACAATAGAACTTTTCTTACACTCAGAATAGAACCAACATAAGCTCATTTCAAAATCTCAGAAAAGTGCAAAGATTACCTGCCATAACAACCACTAAAGAGAACCAGAGGAGCTCTGTGGTGGAGTGGTTACACTTGGGCTGCTAACAGCAAGGTCAGCAGTTCAAAACCACCAGCCACTCTATGGAAGGAAAAGGAGGCTTTCTGCTGCTGTTAACAGTTATTTCGAGTCTAGGAAACCCACAAGCACCAACTCAAGGGCAATGTAATATCTGGCAACTCTCATGCTACATGATTTTCTGGATACTCAAGGAGAAAAACATCTTTTTTTAAAATCATTTTATTA